AGCAATAGAATGGTAGACAAGTGGAATAGACTACCCGAGAAACTAGTCACCCTTCCGAGTGTTCACGCCTTCAAACTGGCTTTGGCTAGGAGGTGGCTACAACTGTTCCCAAACGAGGAGTACTGAACAGGATGCCGATGTTAGGTTCATAACTTGTTTTGTGCAATATGGAACGCTTTCACATTAAAAGTCTCTCGCCGACACGGCGAGAAGTAATGTTTCTCTTTCTCTCTGCTTGCAGATGAACGGGGAAACGGATCAGTTGAAGAGGTGAATGCATACTCGTGAGCACACCACCGAAGCAATTCTGGAGGCTCGATTGGCCCGTGGCTACTACCAGTCCTATGCAACATGACTTGACCTAACCTTAATTTAATTCCAAAATTCGATGTTGTAGCACTGATAGACAAAATATTCATTTCTGTCATTTTTAGTAAAAAAAGGTGTACATTCCGTTTTTGGTGGTAGACAGCTTTGCTGTGGTTCGGTTCTATACCACGCGTGACCTATCGGGGCCTTATCTGGTTTGCCACTCCAAGTCCCGGGGCTCAGGTTACCGGTTACCGTCAGTGAACAACAGGTCCTGGTGACTATGGGGTCCGCTCCAACTGCTGTTGATCACACACTGGTGTGTAATAATATATATATATATATATATATATATATATATATATATATATATANATCAGTTATTCGCCTAAAATGTCTATTATAATACTCTTCTTTCAACAAAATTTAGGATATCAATTCCGTTGTTCCAATAGATAGAAAAATAGAAGACGAAAGTAGAATAGTCACTTCTGGGGGAAAGTGGGCTATTTACTATCGCTCCTCATTTGCAGTTGGTCGGGAGTCACCCTGCTAGCAAAAAGATTACTTTTCGACTACTATAGTGACGGTATACCGTTGCAAAATGGTGGTGCAGATGGTCACGACTTTACAGGTTTCGTGTCTTTTTGGCCGAATCGCTACAAATCGACTACTAAAACGCTATAAAAACTTAGCTCTGTGATTGTTTACGTAGAATATCGCTACTTAGCCGTGTGACTTATCGAACTTTACAAATGACTTCTCTGTTTTTGCCGAAAGGCTTATTAATGCCAGTAAATCGATAACGTAACACAATTATTTATTTCAAATAATATTTGTGAATACAAAATATGGTTTAAGCCTAAAAAATCAAAACGCTACTATAGTAGAAGAATATCGTTACTTGGTAATTACAGGGCGGCTCTTCTACCCCAACTCAGTAGCGGTTGGGTCCAACCCAATCCCGACAAACCAGCTCACGCAACTGGATACTTTATACTCCACGGACAACCTAATCATAGTTCGGAGAACTAGACTGTGCAACTTTACTCATTTTTTACCAGATCTATCTTCTTGGAATTCGGCGTTGCCACTTGCTTCGTCAAGACAAGGCTGCATATTGACATTCTGTGGCGGTTTGCCTGCCTCCAAGGCCCTGTGAGCTATACAGAATGGCTCGTCAGCCGCACTTACAATCATGTCTAAAAGGTCAGTGAGAAGGAGCCAGGCGCTTGGGTACCTGGCTTCCTTTGGCTATCCACTTTCGCCCCGGAGCAGTTTGCCAATAAAAACCCTCCAAATGGACGGAGGAGTGGGATACTCATGTTGGGAGGAGTCTTCGCACATTATTAAACAGTTACCGTCCGACCCAGCTTGATATATATTATATTTCACACTTGTCTGAGGCCAGACTGTGTGTCAAGCAAATCATGGCACAATAATCCTTTTCAAGCCCCATTCGGTGCATGAGGCTAACGGTTGATCCAGATTAGCGGACCTTCAATCAATATACTGAAAACAACCGCAAGGCCTCGTGTGACAGGTCTCTGGAAGCTTTCTACCGACCCCTCAGGCGTCCCCTCGCCTTGGATCTACTTCCCATTGTATTGTGGGTCCGGCTCCCAAAAAAACATCGGTTCCCGTATCCTTGTGGGCCAAACTTTTAAGTCAAAGGCTCCCGTCAGAGTTCCCAGAGAAAATAGTAAGCTGATGCGTACACAAACTGAAATATTCCATAATTACATCGGTCGTCGCGCAGGATAATCAGAACCGCGCTGCCCATCGCATCGAGCGGCATGAGTAGTGATCGGTGAGCTACTGCTCAGACCTTTGTTTTACTCTATCTTTTATACCCAACCCTCTCCCTATGTCTCTTCTTCCGACTCGTAACATTCTCCCGGACACCCTGTTCGTCATTCACCCCTAAGTTCGCCGCCAAATAGCGCTGTAATTAGTTTACCCCAAAATAGATAGCAGATTCTGAAGTCTCATGAACTGATGTCTCAGTCACCCATTCGGAAAACCATATTTATCATCTATCTAGTTCTTCTCACATCCGGATCTTACGAGATGCCCCCTGCTTCTGAACCTTAGAGATATAAATCAGCATTTAACTAATAAGGCCGACCAACCAGAATCTATCAGATTGTTGAAACCAAATTCTTCTTTTCATTTTGCCACTTAGTATCCGCACAATATCAAGTCGGCCAACAAGCTGCCTTTCCGTTTAGACCTACGCTGTCTCCAAAACACTCGTAAAAGACCCTACTTGAATCATTTCTTTGCTTTCTCCATATTCAACATCATCCTCACGTTGCACTGTATGTCAGTCGATTCGCTATCCGACGCTAGTGGTGTTGCTGGTGTCGGGGCTGTGCCAGCTGTCAAGACTCAGCGCTCCTTTCTTGATTGGATTCCGGTTGTTAGCCGGATTTTCGCTAATTGTTCGTAGTTCAACTAAAATGACGAATGAATTGCACTATGACCTTTCTCAACTACTCCAAATTGTTCACCCAACCGACATCGTTGTAGTCGATAGTGATTTCAATTCTCCAGCGGGATCCCTGACCGAATCAGAAAGATTTCTTGGCCATCTTCATACAATCCCAGCTAACAGATAACCGAGATCGCCTACTTCAACTTGGCTCTGACCACAGCTTCTTCGTGTCCAACATTCAGGGCAATAACCGGATCAGTTCACCTAGGGGAGTTGGCTGAAAACCCTGATTCCAAATTAGACCAGAAGTGGTGTACGAACCACAATCACCCGCACATTGGTTGTAGCAGTGGTCACCGGTTCAATTCGGCATCGAGGTGTATTGGGCCCTTGGGACGTTTGACCCCATCCGGAGAGCGCATGATNCCCCCCCCCCCAATAAACTGCCGTTTTTCACACACCTCCCCGCTGCCTTGTGGGTCAGACTTCGGTTAGTGAAGGGCTCCGGTTATGAATTCCCCACGAAACTTCACTTTCCTTGGCCTGGGCAACCTTGCAGTATTCCATTCGCAAACAAATCATGGAACTTTCTCTTTTTATAAAGATTATGGTACTATAATTTGTTTGGCACACAATCTAGATTCAGACGTGTTTGAAACACGTTTCAGCGATAGTTACAAATCGGCCTTCGAAGTGGAGCTCTCCGATCGTCTATCAGTTCAGATATCAGCCGAAGGACTGAATTAGCACTGGAAGCAAAGCAAGGAAGCTGTGCAACTATCGATAAAAACAACGGCGGACTCTAACGCAGGTTCAAAGCACAAACGATGGATCTCGTGGATCTTGGTTGCCTTGCTTGATGCCGGCAGGACCCTTCCGACTGAACTTAAACATGATGGCGCGAAAATCCCTCGAAGGCCAGCTCATCGGGAGTCTGAGGAATGATCGAAAGAAGTGGTGGTTAAGAAAGTGTAGAGAGATGGAGAAAGCTGCGGCTATTGGTAATAGTCGCATTGTTTTCTTTCTGCTTTTTAGGTAACCGCGGTCGCCCACTGGAACAAGTGGTCGACCCCCGTGGATTATGTTGATCGAAGCATGTGTTGCATGTCACCACAGGTTGCCAAGGCGCGCGATGTTTGCCGAAGCAAGCAACAGTCTAAGAAAGTCAAAGGTGATCAGAATAAGACCTGGCACGAAGGTATGCAAACACTAACCAGGAGACTCGGTTATACAGGTCGCGTTAGGCCCCCTGAATGAGGACCTCCGGATCTCTACAATCAATGGTCAAAGACACTATAACTGATTCCTATCAGACATCACTGAATAGGTAGACTTCACCCAATTTTGCAGCGTCACTTTGCACTTAAAAAGTGCAAACCGCATACTGAATAGGGTAACAGCACTTGTTAGTCTATCAGGAACCCATTAGAGCTTCGCGGTCAACTGAGTCGAAGGCTCCTCTCCGGCTGAGGAACTGCGATCTTTGATCGAACGTGGGTGTGACAAAGCTTGAGCTAGCTCAAGGACTTGACGCAACGTCAAAATTTGATCAATAAATTCACGACTAGGCCCGAATCCGGCTTGCTGCTCGTGGGTATTGGTCCATCTTAAAGGAGTCAGACGTCGAATTATGACGGAGGCTAACACTTTGGTGATTGGATTCAAACTCATTCCGCGGTGGTTTTCGCAATCTTTGCGAGATGCCTTCTTTAAAATGGGAATGGTCTTCCCAAAGTAGATTTCGAACTTCGAACTTATCCTTCACAACCTTCAGTAAACTGTCTGCAAAATTGTGGCAACTAGACATTTGAAGAAATATTGAACGGAATTTCTACTAGCCCAACTCAGCTTTCACATGGCGATCTAACTATCAGTACTCCCACATCTTAATACATTTTGCAGTTTCCTACAAATCCTCGCTTATTCTACGGGAACTTCGCCATTTCTTATCTCTTTAAAAGCCTCAAATCGGGCACGGGTCACAGCCGCACTACTCGGCAACTTTTAGATATTTATCTTTTTAAAATTTTGTTCTGTACAAATGTCCAAGTGACTGCAGGACAAAAGACCAGAAAACTGCCTTATCAACGAACGCCGATTTTTTTGACGCGGAAGTCTGCTCGTCGGAAGACTCGTCTCCCGGGAAAATTCATCTTCGCGATCTTGAACGACCTGAGATAAAACAGGCGTTGCTGGACGCAACCGCTTCCAACATAGCCGCAACTCCCTTCGATGATTCAACTGTCGACGCACAGTGATCCACGCTGAAAACGTCCATCAGAGAAGTGGCGTTGAGGCAGTTGGGTAAGACTTCACCAGGAAAGAGACAGACATCAGAGGCACTGTTGCGCAGTACCACGAGCCAATATATTCAAGGAACTAAACAAAAAATGCAAAGCCCACTTGCTCCAGTTGACGACCGCGACTTCCTAAAACTCTACGCCCAACCGGACGAGCAATGCTGAGGTCAGGCGTAGAGTTTTAGGCAGTCGCGGTNGTCTCCTGGAGCAAGTGGTCGACCTTCATAGATTACGCTGGTCGGTACATGTGTTACGCATGTCACCAAATGGGTTGCTACAGCGAGCGATGTTTGCCGAGGCAGGTAGCGGTTGTAAAAAGGTCAAGGGTGTTCAAACGAATACCTGGCATGAGGGTATAAAAACGCTAACCAGGAGTCTNGGCTGGGTGTCGCAGACAGTGGCGCTCATGCATCCTCTCGTTATTCTCCTAACACCACTTTATGAATTCTCCATCTTCCACTTGAATTTGCTTTCGACATTCCAATCTTCATTTCGCTCTTTTATCCAAATGGGGCACCAAAAGACAACAACCGGAACCGGCGCACAAAAGTGCATGGCTAATGGTTGCAAAAACTGAAAAATTGAAACAGGTGGGTCGAAAACTCTGACAGGTTGCTCAACCGCCCATTAAACCAACCTGGCTCTCCACGGGTGTCAAGCAGTTCGGAGACCTACCACATCAATTGAGACCTACCTATTACGACGGAAATCGTCAATGCGCTCACTTCTCTGAAAAGCAGGAAGGCCCCTGGAGAAGACGATACTACGAGAGCTCTTCACAGCTTGTTTACAAACTCCGAACTCCCTTTTCCAATCCATTTGGGAAAGATTGGACAACTTCAATCCTAGTCCCGGTTTCAAAAATTGGTGGTCTAGATGGGAAAATTACAAGGTATTAGCCTCATTGATATTGCGGCCAAATCTTTTGCATTGATGCTGCTTAATCGCTTCGCGGTCGTCAGAGATACACTCACCCGCCCGAACCAGGGAGGGGGGGGTCGTCGAGAAGATACTGTATTGAACACATCTTCACTCTCCGTAGGATTCTGGAACACCGCTGCAAGTTCCAGCGGTTTATCACTGCATGTTTGATCGACTTTCGCACTGCGTTTGAGTCTGTCGATAGAGAATCCTTGTGGTGCAGATTGCTGTCCGACGGGATGCCCGAATAGTTCATCAGGCTTTTGAAGTCATACTATTCAGGGACCCGGACACGCTTCTCTACCTATGGAGAAGAATGAGTTGAATTTACCCTAAGCTCTAGAGTCAGGCAAGGTATTTTTTATTACAAATCTAAGTGTGATGAACAGCAGACGGGGCGACCCTCATAGCTACGATGACCTTCTGTTCAGTGATGGAAACCGGCAACCTAAGCCCCGGTACTTGGAGTGGCGAACCACATAAGGCCCCGATAGGTTAAGCTTGGTATTGAATCGGACGACAGCTGAGCTGCCTACCACCAAAAAAGGGAACGGCTGCAACACCCGGTGTTCCCAAACGGTCACCCATGCAATTAATAACCGGGCCCGACGTTGCTCAACTTCGGTGATCAGACGAGAACCGGTGTTTCCAACGTGGTATGGCTGCCCTCTATCACCAGTGTTGTTCAATTACATCGTACATTAGATAATGCGACATGCCCTCGTCGACTAACCCGGAGTTCAGCTTGGCCCAGGTACACGGATTTCTGACCTCTAATTTGTGGATGATATCGTTGTACTTGGAGACACCGTGGACAACCTCCAGCCTGTTGTCAGTCGTATGAACCCGCTTGCCAAGGCCATTGGGCTAGAGATCAACACTTCCGAAACCAAGACATTTTCGACTGAAACCTGCCACGACAGAGCCCCTCTCGATTAACGGGAACATTGTGGAATCAACCGAAGTTTTCATGTATATTGGCCTCACAATCAGACCAAACGGCCAGGCTAAGGATGAAATCCAATTCCGTGTAGATGGAGCTAGAAGAGCCTTTATTCAACTCCTCAGACCGTTGTGGAATCGATGCGAAATAAGCTTAAACACTAAGCTTCGGGTTTATCAGGCTTGCATCCACCTCATCCTCAGTCATGGTTGTGAAACCTGGCCACTAAGAGTACAAGATACAAAGAAGCTCGAGGTCTTTAGTCATTGGTGCTTACGCCGCATCTCGAAAGTAAACTGGAGAGATCGGATTTCCAGTGATGAAGTTCGACGGCGCTGCTCGAACATCGACAAGCTTTCGAAAATGTCACTACATCGGCACCTTCAGTTGTTTGGCCATGTGCTCCGAAGGCTCGACACTCAACTCTTGCGACAGGCTGTGGCCCCCGCACCGTGCCGCGGATTGCGTTGCTGACTCGGCGGTTAACTGAAGACCTGGCGCAGTATGATCAAAGCGGACTTGGAATTACTGGGTCTCCAGTCCGTATATTGAATTCGTAACTGGAACCAGAACTGGGTCTCGCTGCGTCAACTTCGCCGCTGATCGTCATGCATGGGCCGCCATCGTTAGAGACATCCAAGAAGCCAAGTTATCCTCCCGTAGGAGTTAGTCGCTCAAAAGCAAAAGTAAGTAAAAGCAGGAGGATCATAGGATAAACTTAGCTTTGACCGTTCACGTATAATTAATGCGCGAGATGTCTGAAGAGCGGTGTACAGGTCCCGAAACGATGTAGCGTCTGAGTACGGTGTAGTCAATTAAGTCCAATACCACCTTCAGATCAAGGAACACAGAAATAGTATTTACACAAATGACAGATACAATATATGGAATTGAACACCAATTGAAAATATGTTGACTTCTTCGCGTGTCCCAACGACTATTTTTTAACTTAACTGTCAAACGCTGAGTTCATTGCTGCACGTTTTTTCTGTTGTCCACATTTTAGCTATCAAAACATACTTCAATGGATTTTGTGGCACTTGTGAGTGGCGGTAAAGATAGTATTTTCAGTATGATGGATGCTATCTCTCATGGATATCAACTGAAAGCACTGATACACTTAGCTCCCAAGGGTTCAGAATCTGGGTAAGTGTGATGTGCACATTTCATTCCAAGTAATAATACATGTTAGTACAGAAGAACGAGATAGCTATATGTATCAGAGCGTAGCAAGCGAAGGTGTTGAGCTACTCTCCCGTGCGCTAAATGTGCCTTTGATATATCGAACAATTACCGGGAAATCCGTTTGCCAAAGGATGAACTATATCACCCAATCGGAAGATGAAGTGGAAGATTTGTGCTATGCAGTTTCAGAGGCCATAGATCGTTTTCCAACGATCAAGTTTATCTGCAGTGGTGCAATTTTGTCCGATTACCAACGAATTCGCGTGGAGCACGTGGCTTCCAGGCTTGGAATCGGTACATTAGCCTTCCTTTGGAGAAGGTCTCAAGTTTCCTTGTTGAATGAAATGGTCTGTTCCGGTCTGGATGCCATCATTGTCAAGGTGAGCATAATTTTTCATTCATGGAGATTGATGTCAAAGCGTTTCTCTTAAAACATCCCTCGTGTGGAGAGCTACATGATCACTAACATCTAGTATTTAGTGGTAGAAGTCTCCTTTGTGAGTTAGTGACCAGTCAGAGGTAATGAAGTAATACAGCGAGAAATTATCAAGCCTACATAAGGACATTGGGGTGGAGGTGACAGGATTCCAACCTGGTGTGTTGTGAGCCGGCACCGACGCCAAGTAATGCGCAGATTCTCGCGGAAAATTTGAATGTTTTTCTTGGAATAGAATAGAATTCAACGTCGTTGCTTTTATCCTCGTTCATTTACTGCTATGCTTTAGAAACCGATAAGACTCGCGACTTAGGCACAACGAAACTGGCTAACTAGTAGTATAAAAAGTTACTCACATTTATCGTACTTTCTTAGCTACTGACGTAGAACAAGGATATATATATATATATATATGACAATACGTTCAACAATCATCAACAAATTTGTTAAAACCAAGGCTACCAAATTTGCGAATGGAAACCATCCTTACTCTCTTTGTAGCTTCAACCTGTGGTCCGTTAGATCGCAAGTTTCAATGCACATTGGTGCGATCCACAGGTTTTCACAATCGAGAGGAAGCCCAGTGTCCGAACGCAGTACAGAGCGACAGAAATTACCGTGAGGATTCACGATTGCATTGCTCCTCGTTCGCACGGGGTGTTTGCTATTCTCAAAATCCTCGCGCATCTCTTGCAGAACCGTATTTTCTAAGTCTACAAGACGCTGTGTAGGGGTGACGAAAGGACAGCAGGTTTTATATCTTTCGCGTTCACTTTCAGTGACCCATTTAATCTCCAACAGATCATTTGCCGTGCGACAAACCAGTGAGGTTGGTTTATCCTGCATATTTGAACGGGGAAGAAAGAAGTGGGTGCGAGTCGTTTTGTCATCATCAACTGGTTCGTGTAGAGCGGATATCGTGGCAAATTCAGAAGAAAGAGTACCGATCCACCACAGAGTTTTTTTTTGAGGAAAAAATCTAACAAGAAGCGAAAAATCGTTATCTTTGACCGAAGACTGAGGAAAAGAACACTCGACAACTATTTAATTCTTCTCGATCTCCATCACTCCTTGCTTTCGAGTACGCGATGAGAAATACGTAATTGATAAGCAGTTGCTACACGTGGCTGTATTGGCTTACTTCTTGGGATAAACGAAATATGAAAAAATACTGATAAGTCTTTCCTGCTTGTTGAGCAAACAAGTGAAGAAAATGGATGAGGAATTAGGTGCTTGAAACGTAATAGATGACAATAATAAAGAAAGAAAAAAACGTTTCGCACGAATGTGCAATGTAATTCGTGAAGAAAACTAGACACAAACGACGGATGCGCGTTATACTATATAGTGAATTATTTCGTCTAGTGTTATTAAATCATTATACATTACTTTTCCGTGTTGACGTAAAACCAAATCGAGTAACATGCTGGGAATGTGTGGAACTCATAATCCTTTACGAATAAGATCTGTTTGTTAATTGTAAAAGAACAGATCTCCATTTGGTTTCTATTTTGGTAACACTCGTTGATCATCATCATCATCATCATCATCAATATCATCATTGTTCAGAGTAATACAGTAAAATTGACTTCACTGATCGCTGCTAAACTCATATTGCACACAAGGTAAGTGAGAATGTGTAAGGAGGATGGGGATTGGACTTACCTATAGGGATGGGAAAAGAAAGCGCTGCAGCTAAAGCACAACTGAACTTAATCGCTCGAACATCAACGATAGCTCAACTACCAAAGCTTGCCATAGTCACTACGACCACTTGAAAGTAACAGGCAGACCAGGACACAAAGTGAGTTGTACAGTTCGGGGGACTATTTTACTTCTGTTTGGCTTTCCAATGAGATCAGTCCAGTTGTTTTTGTTACCCATAGGTTGCAGGAAAACAGTGGGTTGGGTAACATTTAACTCGTTGTACGATACAATGCATTTAACTCACGAGGTTTTGATTGGATCATCATGGAAGACCCAAGGTTCTCACAAACTCCCAGGTGTATAAAGAGAGAGGTATTATGGAGCCTGATTCCGATCGCTTCAACCAAATTCAAAACTTTTTCTCTAGCTACCTTTCGTTTGACCGTAAAGAGAGGACGAAAAAGCACGTTTGCGATTATACTCAGTCAGATGGTTGGTGATTGCTGTCATCCTGTCTTTCTTTGTCAGTCCGCGACTCAGCCTTCCAGATTGGCGCTCTCTAGCACAATCTAATTACGTACGGTTTAGCTCACAGTCAGTCTTAAGTGGTGGTGTGAAAGCAATACCAGCGTCCCTTTATTTGACTACTTCTCGGGTTCCTTCCTGATTTATGATCCTCAGTTCACCTAAACAATTCAAGAATCGGGTTGAAATTCCGCTCTCACCAATACACTCACCAATCTATTCTGATTCCTTTCTTGTATCCATGTATTACATCTTACCCTAATCAGGTCGCCTCCTCCGGATTGGAAATCAAACGTCACCTGGGTCATCATATCTCCGACTTGCAATCTCAGTTGGTCCAACTAACGGGCCCCCCTTGGTACCTAAACGCATGCGGTGAGGGGGGTGAGTATGAGACATTCACATTGGACTGTCCATTGTTCGAACAACGCATTGTTCAGCGATCCCCAGCCGAGTTGGTCATTCACTCCGACGATGAATCTTATCCCGTGGCTTACTTACGGTTAAATAACCTTGCTCTCGAGGTGATTCACTTTTGTTGCACCCATCCCTGCCCAGGCCCAGTGTCGATTTGCATTGAAAACCGCATCATTTGTTTCGTTTGGGCAGTAAGAGATTAAATACTCACAGTTATACTTACTTTGATGCCACACATGTCTGAAAAGCTCGGCGCACATTACCCGTGGGGACCCTCCTTATTTTGGTCATTTTCGACTGTTTTTTCATTGTAATTGGTATGATCAATGTTT